TAAATTTAAAGTATTGAGAAATTTATATTTGATATTTCCAGGAATTCCTAGATAAAAATTAATAATTCCTAATTTAGAGATTTCTATTTAATAATGTTATTAAGTACGACCACCACATCTCCAATGACCACCAAGGGAAAAAAAACACCAAGGAGGACCACCAACACCACCAAGGAAGGATACCGCCAAGGAGGATCACCAACATCTTCCAGGAAGCACACCACCAAGCACAACCAGCAGCGGGGCGGGAAGCGACAACTGGGGGAAGTTTACAGTGGTATAGCTCAGCATAGCTCTAAAAGTATCAACCCCACATGATTGAACAGTTCCATTTAAAACCGAACCGAACCGCGCCGCAAACATGGAAAAAATGGAACCCTCCAACCGTAGAACCGTTTCAAATATGAACCGAAAACCGCAGAACGAACCGTTTCATCATGAGAATGCGGGTAATTCGAGTTACCCTATTCTCTAGGGGAAATGGTAATGGGGATCCTTTCATTTGCTTTTGTTTGCCCTAGAGAATTTTGATCTATATCCCCCTTCGGTTGTCGGTACCGCATTTATTCCCAAGCCTGTCTCCCTTTCATTTCCTTTCTATTTCCCTTATATATTCCCTTCTGTTTCCCTGAGTGAATTTAGTTCTTGGCCACCTTGTCTCCCAAGCTTGTCTCCCTTCTGTTTTCCTTCTGTTTCCCTTGGTGAATTTCGTTCTAGGCTGCTCTTTGTTGTCACTCCCGCCTTGTCTCCCAAGCTCGTTTGCCAAGCTTGTCTCCCTTGTGTCTCCCGTATGCCCCTTCGGTCATGCTTCTGTTTGCCTTGTGATTGATGGGTCTTGCAGCAACCATCCAACAGCCACCACCAACACTAGTAGCCGCAGCAGCAGCAGCAGCAGCAACAACAACAACAACAGTAACAGCAACTGGTCCTCAGTGGTGGCTTGCAGTGGAAGACCCAGAAGAAAAAGACCTGTCCACATCACTTGATAGGTCACGACAGAGATCCAATACAGTATTTTGTTTGGCTATCTGGGGTCTATGCTGGTGTATGTTCCAATATTTTCCATGTTAGTTTTAGATTCTAGATTGTTACTACTTTCTGAATATTGCACATGTTAATTTTAATTGTCAGTAATTACTCCTATGTGAATTTGTCATTTGATTTAGCTTCATTTGCTATTTCACTATTTGAATTCCATTTGATATCTTTTCCGGATGCAAGCATCTTAAGACCAAAGGTCCCAAGAAATGTCATTATCTCTTACGTTTTTGGGGGTGCCCATTGGCTGCCTAGCCCTTGTAGCTTGCCGTAAATCCAGGACAGGCGGAGGCCATCCGTTTGCTGGCAAACTCGTGGCATGGCTGTGCCCCAACTAATTGGCCACAAGAAACAATCTCTTCAAATTCCTTTGTGGATAGGTATGGACAGATCCTATGGTGAAACGAGTCAGGCTTCCTCCAGCGGACTGTATACTACCTTAGCAGCAGCCGATTGCACTGATTCGTGAAGAAAAAAAGCAGCCTGTTCCCGAGTGATTGCTTCCTCGCTGCATCATCATCTGTGGTTGAATCCGTCGCAGACGATTCGTTCCCGCACACTGTCCCGCAACATCCAGGTCCTGAGTTCCGGGGGAGCAACCCATCACACCTGGAGTTTCAGCAAAAAAAATCGCTTCCAATGCGGCTCATTGCTATTTATTGCTATCAAAGCTGCTCCGATTCTCCACCTTGTGCAGGACTGAGATTTGCTGGTCATGCCTGGCAGGATGAAACTTGGCAGCTAGACTATGCTTGACTATCTCATCGGAACGCCTAATCGTCAATGAAATGGGATTCTGGAGCTTGAAGCTTTCCTTGGAACTCAAACGCATGAAACCCGTCATGTCACGACAACAGCAAATGCCATTGAATGCATTCGAAGGACACCATCGACTTGGAAAAATGTGATCAAATCGCCTGAAGCACAGCGAGGAGCTCATGAAGGATGGATTGGTGCCAAAGGAAAAACACCCACCCCGTCACGCCCAGATTTGAGGATGGAACGATAGTTTCTCTGCTTAAACTCGAAGTGCAATGGAGCTCCCTGGAAAACCCGTCGGCCACCCTGCGAAAGTTGCACGAAGTCCAGGCTTGAATTTGTCCGAACGAGATGCAATGCAGTCAAGGCACCAGCACAGAGTTCGTAGGCATAGCAGCCTTGGATTGCAGAAGGTATACCTAAAAATCATTTAAAATCACCAATTGATTTCAATCAAGCATCGAATCACGAAAAATACAACAGCTTTGCGGAGAACTGAGTGGCACGCCCGCAGGAGCCTGTGCACATGGTATGACTATCTACCTTTTGATGTGATGATGACCTGCTGCAGATTGTTCAAATGAAAGAAAAAACGAAACTGATAGAAGTCTTGTTTTTGTTTCGAAATTATCCCCCAGCAACCTTCGTTGCTAAACCCCAATCAGAAAGGCTTTGGCCGCTGCTACAGTATACGATGTCCATCAACTTCGACCATGAGATCATTTGGTGTCCTCATGGTCCTTGAGAGTGTGATCACTTCCAGCTTCTTGTCACCAGAGTCTTGCTCGGCTTCCAGGAGGTCTTCTGAGAGAGGGTGGGATGTACCTTTTTACGAGCAGAATCAAACTGCAAGGGCACACTGATATCTGATACCCTTCAGGCGTGCAATTTGAGTTCCTTCCAGGCTTTGTGAATTCCCCTGCCGTAAGTTGCACCGCAACCCTAAAAAATGTCAAGGAACCAGAACGCCATGAGTTTCTCCACAAGTTCCGTGCAACACCGCCACCATAGGAAGTGATGTTCAAACACAATAGCCTGAGGAGCTTCACAGCTCAGCAGTGTAAGTTCGTGTTCGCTCACAAACCTCAAACACCCTACCTTTTCTTATGGCCAACTGTTGGTTTGGGTCGCTGTTGCGGGCTCCTTTGTAGCCACGGGCTACAATACCAGGGATTCATTGGTGAAACCAACTCCCCAAGGACTACCATGACTTGATGGCTGGTTGGAGCTTTGCTCGTGGCACAGGCGTAGGTGCAAGCAAGCAGCATTTCCTTGGTGGAACAACGACATGCAGCAGCCCTGCTTGACAATAGAGACCCAACAACAGCAGCAGCAATAACAACAACAAGAACAGGAACAGGAACAACAACAGGAACAACAACAGGAACAGGAACAAGAACAAGAACAACAAGAACGCAGAGAAATCTGGCTCAAGACACAGGCGGCATTGAAAGCCTGAGAGGTGGACGGGATTGCTGAAGAGCCTTGCGTGAAGGGAAGGGAAATACAAAACCAATTGGCCGAAGAAAACTAAAAGAAGCCAAAGAGCTGCAAACGAAGAATGCCAAACCCCTCGCTTGCCTTGGACCTGTGCTTCTCATTCCCACTTCAAAGATGGGCGGTCCCTGCGAGTCCGCAACACAAGACCAAGCTGCACGAAACAGGCACCCAATCAGAAGCCATCAGGCCTTCTTGTCCGTTCCGTGGTAAAGGCCTGTCACAAAACCGCGTGAGCATAGCAAACTCAAGGCGTGTGTCGAGAAGCCGCAGATACCGGATACCCCCAAAATCATGGGTTACACACTCAAATGTTGCCATGCCATTTTGCTCGATTTTGGCACCGCCCAGCCACCCAGCCTCTCAGCACCCTTTGCACTCGCTGACCCACGCAGCAAAAGAAGTGCAGGGATATCATAATGCCTACAGTACCGCTGAAACTCAGGCACCGCAGGTCAGGCTTGAAACATCTTGAAACCACCAGCACAGAAAAGACAAAAAAGAACGGCAAACCCATCGGTCTGCTCAACTCAATAAAAGTCATTTCTGCTGAGGCAAGTTGAAACCTGCAGTGACATCAAACTGGGCAAAATGTCAGTGCACATATCATCATACCTTTAGAGAGAAGGTTCAAGGTTTTGGAGTCTCGGTTGTGTTGGGTTCCACGGTCCCACGCTCTTTCTTCAGAGCGCATACTGCTTGCTCTTGTTGGGGAACAGACTATGCCTTGCCAAGCATAGACCAGTTTGTTGCAGCATTGACTCTTTGTGCGATGAAGCTCGACCTCACCACAGTCGTGCAGACGGTCATGGATTTACTGCTCACATCATGTGCACTGATACTGACTGTATCCGGAGGTTTCCTGAAATCGGGGTACCCTAAATCATCTGTTTGAATAGGATTTTCCATTATAAACCATTTTGGGGATCCTCCATTTATGGAAAGCCCCTTCTTTTGCCAATCCAAGGTTCATTGTAAGCCAGCTCCGCGTCCTTAGCGATGCCACCTGGGTAGGTACAAATGGCACATCCGACAGATGTGCTAAAGATGTGCGCCTGACATGCGTCACAGCCCATTTTATGCACACGCATGGGTACTGAGCACGTCGCAGTACAGAAGCATGTAGGTTTCCAAGCTTTTCTTGTATGATTCATCGGCATTTCTCATGACATCGTCCTTGTGGTAGATGAATCCGTCCTCTTCATCCACCTAAAAAAAAGAAACCAACAAACTGCGTGGAAAATTCCAAGAACCAAACCTGGTGTGGTCCACACAGCTTCAGGTGACCCAACCTCCAGCGAAACCTTCCAAACATCCTGAATGTCTGGCTCCGCTCGGACCCAGTCTTGCCTGAGCTCTTGGGACGGCCCTGACTGACAAGTTTGGCTGTTCCAGACCGACCAACACTGTCACAAAAGGAGCTTGGCAAGCTGCACCATCTCCGCCAAAGTCTCGCAATCATTTCTAAGCAATACATCTGGGTCAGGATTCCTGGTGGCACTTCACAATCAAGACTGGCCATTGCAACCTGACAAGACTTCAGAGAGTGCAAATGCTTTCCTGATATGGGCCATATCGGTCCTGCCACCCCAGCCCAAAGCCTGTGCAAAGTCATTGCCTGTCAAGGTGGAGGTGCTTAGAACTTGCTCAACTTGCTCCCTGCAAAGGGCCCAGAAAATCGTAGTTCCATGTAGTTCCCCATTTCCCTACATGTGTGGCCTGTTCCCAGTGGCACCATCCCTATCCGGAGGCTCGTCTCTGTGTGGATCCCGTGCTTCTGAGCTTCCGAGACCACCCACATCACAGTGCCATCACCTCTGCGGGTCACGCGTCACACCCATGCAGTGTCACGCAACGCGTCACGGATCAAAATCCCCCAGCCTCCGCCTATGAAAACTCGAACCCAGCTGTAGCTAAACACAACTTGCCGCAAGAAGTGAAAGCCGGGTTTATTTCCTAAGCTGCTCCAGCTGAAAAGCTCTGAATTGTTGACGTGGCGTGAAAAAAATAAAGGCTTCACCGAACCAGCTGTCCAGATCTGATTAGCACCAAGCTTCCTGGCTCTCCCTCCGTGAGGCCTTGATGAGAGGGGCAAATATGTATGTACTACGTGGGCATGGACATGTAGCCACCAAAACTATCGCTTAAGATCACAACGTGCACCCAAAGAAAAACAAACAAATACGTTTTCTACATGCAAGTACGTTTTTGCCTCAACAAATACGTTTTTTGAGCTCAAATCAGCCGAGAACAAAAAAAATACAACCTTGGGATTTCCACTCATTCCTCTAAAGGTGCCCCTGAACTTCTTTACACCAAGCTGCTGAAAATGTAAAGCCTGGCTTTGGAGCGTGCTTGTCGGATCTCGACATCAAAAGGTTGTGGAACCTGCAGGAAGGCCTCGGTAATGGCAAGCTGAGACAGCAAACAAAAGGACAGCTGTCACCCTCAGTAAGCCACCTCTCCTATCTGACCGCCAGCTTTTGGGTTGACGAAGAGGAACCTCAGAAGACAGTCAGCGTGACGGCATGCCTGCTTGCTGCGCGTGCGACACAAGACTGCGAGTATGTACGAGAGGTGAACGCATGCAAGCGAATAGCACATAGTATTCAAGCTTAGAAGTCAGGAAACACAGGCTGGACGTCCACTTCATATCGAAATCCCACGGCACCTGGCCAACAAGATCAGGCGTATCATTCAACTGCAATCCTTTCTCTCGAATTCCTCATCTAGCTTACAGCCTTGCCTTGCTCCAACATTTGGTTGCCCCCCCGTCCGTCTCAAGACAGCAACAGCTTGAGCCATGCAATCAGGTGACCAGCAAGCCTTGCAACACGTGGTGAGACTCCTGGGACCTCATCAACAAGCCACAAAAATGAAGGAAAGCAAAGGATGAGAAACAGCTCAGCGCATTTTCAAAGCATCTGGGCCCTTGCCCACACGCTAAACATTTGGCGCTAGATGGCGCTAGATGGTGCTAGATGGCGTTAGCACTCCAGTGCGTGCAATACACAAAAAGCCTTTCTTCTTGTAGCTTAAAAAAATTGCTATTTGGAATTACTTTGTTTCTTTGAATCTTCTTCGCCTTGTCAGTGGGAGCACCATCACGTATTTTCTGGGATGTTCTGTCTTGGACAGCACCCCTCATCTACACTGCTCCTTCAAGCCGTGCGATCGAAAATGTCTATGTGCCGAAAGCCAAAGTTCACATGGCAGCACAGCCTCACACTTGAGAAGCGATTTGCCTCGGTAAATCCAAATTTTTTGGAACACCCAAGAGCAACATAACATGACACACGACATGGAGGTTTCCATAATGGAGGTACCCCTAAATCTTCCATTGTAAATAAGATTTTCTATTTAAAACCATCAATTTTGCGGATTCCCCATTTATGGAAATCCCCATTTATACATATTATATATATATATAACTAACCGCGAGCAGCTCATGCAGGTTCCACTTCACAGTTCAGGCGGCGACGGCGCTTGCATTGGGGCCATGGGAGCACCGTATATGTTGGCTCCTTGGTAGTCCTGGAAGCCCCAAGAAGCACGTGTCTAAATGTTACTAGGCAGAATGAAACCTGCAAAAGTTCATATTAATCCGCACTCCCAAACAATACTATCAGTCAGCCGCCTTTATATGTGCACATGCATTACACACACACATACATTATACATTACATTGCATTACATTGCGTTACATTGCATTACACTTGAGGCCCAGGGGTGAGGGACGAAAGCTAGCTTGGCAGGGAGCTTGGCATGAAAAGACAATAGATGCGGATGCGGCCGAATTTGCCGGTGGCGACATGCCGACGGTATCCCTGGGGATGGCCAAACTGCTTGTGAACCAGCCAGCCGGGGCAGGGGGTGATAGCTGAGGATGAAGTTTCAGGCGATTGGAGATTCCAGCCCACCCACAATACCTTGCTAAAGCAAGAGGGACTTCAGCTAGAAGTTAGCTTTCGTGATTGACATTTGCATGTTCATTTGCATGAACATGAACATTACCCTCCTGGGGCGGATGTTCGCCCAAAGTTCCGTTGCCGGCTCAGCTACATTGGGTTGGTTTAGGGATAATTTCGGGTTGGCTTATATAGGGCTTGCTTCGGAGTTTTTTAGGTTTTATTTAGGGTTGGTTCGGGTCGGTTATTTGATGTTTTCTGGTGCTATTTAAGCTTGTTTTGGCGTTTCTTGAGGGTTGTTTGACTGTATTTAGGGCTTAATTAAGCTTGATTTAGGGCCTGTTTATAGTTGATTTGACATTTATTTAGGGTTGGGTCAATTCTGGTTCTGGTTGGGTTATATGGTTTGTTAACGTTTTTTTGGGGGAGGGTTTGAGGCTCGACACACTTCAAAGTACCGCATATATCCTCAAGACATGCTTCAAGAGGGATTTTGGCACCGCCTTGGGTAAGCATAGCAGATTGGAGTCGCGCATGGAAGTCTGTCGATCTGGGCCAAACGTCAGCCCCCTCATCATATAGCATGACCATTACATGTCATCGTATACACGTACGTGCAAATATACCTATGTATGTATACACGTAGGCATGTATACACAAGTAGGTATATGAACGTGCGGGTTTTATACGCATAAACACACGTTGGGTTTTACCCTGTAACAAATTTGCAAGTGTTCCCCAGCACACGACTTGAAGGTGATCTGATTCCAGCTGTTCACCAACAAGGTGCAACAAAAATCAAATCGGCACCCTCCTGGACCATTGCAGCGGGATATGTATGGCTCGCGTTCACGGCGCTACCTCGGGCAGGTGGAAAACGGAAGTTTCCGATCTGATTTCTATGTGAATTTCCACAACAAGGCCACAAGGCTCTGGAGCGGGGCCAAGGTCAACTAAGAGGCAAACCATTCCCATAGTACTCAGCTTGGCCTGGATACCTGGCATGACATGCTGCACATCTCAGCCCCCTCAAAAAAAAAATGGTTTGCAGTCCCAGAAACCCTTGGGAATGAACCGGGTACTGCTGCTGCTGCACCATGATCTGCTCCTGCTCCCCTTCCTGCGCAGTAAACCAGGGCCAACCAGATGATCGCAAATTCTCTGGACAACGGCTGTGTGCCCGACCTTGCTCCATAGGTTCATCCGTTCAAGTTTTTTCTTCCCTTAGCAACGACAAGGCTGCAGGCTGAAAGCTCGGATATGTGGCAGTAGGTCAGCAAGGTCAGTAGCGTGAGAAGAGATCATTGGCCAATGCTTAGGCAAGGGTCTCTCTTCCAACTCGTGTTGTTCTGGATCAAAACCACGCACCAACGGCATCACGAGCCAACCGAATACCTTTGCAGAAACCGTAATGGTCACACTGCCGTAGATATGGAGAAACCAACCTCGGTCAGGAAGGAGGTTACCGAAATGTTCTAAACCGAATGCCAGGTCTTGTTGAAATTTGCAGTTCCCTGGGGTTGACATCCACTTTTTCCACTATGATACAACGTGCACTGCCGCAGATGACAATTGCAACCAGGGCACCAATTGCCAACGAAGGATATGGAAACCATGCTGACTCACCCAGAATCGTAAATGCATTCCAAGTGGTCGCAGCCTTGGAGGCTTCATACAATCTCCAACCCCAGACTCGTGCCTTCCATGATGCCTTCCGTTGCATGGTCACAGTGCAAGCCAAGTGGCCCATGCCACGTCGAGAACCAGCATCGATAAGCCTGAATAGAGTAGCATTCCATAGGTAATGCCACCTGCCAGGCGCTATCATCAAGACAAGTTCTCTCGATTTTGAGTTGAACAGTGTGCCTGCTCTCTTTAGCGGCCGCAGTGTTCCAATCAAAATTGAAATCAAAGTCAGCAGACACCTTGGAGGCAAATTCTGTTGCAAATGCACATTCTCTGGCAGCTCTCTTTGCTTGTCTGCTGTGGTTCTCGTTATCTTCAGCTTCTTAGTTTCACTCACCAACACCTTTTCATCATCCAAGCATCCCAATGAATGTGAAACCAAGCACGGCAAAGTTGGCCTTAAGAAATTTCTCGGACCCCAAGTCCCCGGCGGTGCCCCCAAATCGATCGTTGTTTCAGTGAACTTCAGTAGCAACATGATTTGTGTCATAAGATTTGCAGGCAAAATGCAACGTAAATTTTGTTGTACTCCTTGCATCTCACATACAAATGGTCTGCAAAGCCTTGGCTACAATCTTCCGACCTTGGCCACAGGTGACCGCTTCCACTCCCCGGATCTTTGGGACACAACAAAAAAAAAACTGAGGAACGGCCTTGCAAGGCATTGCAAGCATGAACCTATTTCACAATGAAAGTGGATTGGTTCGAGCTGCGTTTAACCAAGCCACCCATCACATCCTCCACCAAGTCCAGCTTGCACATAAGTGCTGATCTCCACAGGCAGGCAGTGGCCAAAGTTCATTGCACGCTCTGACTCTGACACTATCTGAGTTTTTTTTGGGGGGATTGTAAAAGGTGTCGGGCTGGTAGAAACCCGCACTGAATTCCCTGTTTTTTAAATAACTTTCATGACCCGCTTAAAACTTCTTGGTTGTCATAAGTTGTTGAAGCTAACTTAAGATATACATAAGTCATAAGTCATAAGTTACTAATGCCAGCAAGGTGAAAACTGCGCTAGTGGTTGTAACGTTGTTCACAAAATACCTCCTCATGGATGGCACATCGCCTCTTTTCTTTAAGTAGCTTCCAACACGCTCTTGACGCCACGATCATTTCTTTCTCAAGTTACTTCCAACACGCACTTGATGCTACGCCCTTTTCTTTCTCAAGTAGCATCCAACATGCTCTTGACGTTACGATCGTTTCTTTCTCAAGTTACTTCCAACACGCTCTTAATGCTACCCTCTTTTCTTTCTCAAGTAGCTTCCAACACGCTCTTGATGCTCCGATCGTTTCGTTCTCAAGTTACTTCCAACACGCTCTTGGTGCTACGCTCTTTTCTGTCTCAAGTAGCTTCCAACACGCTCTTGACGCTACCATCGTTTCTTTCTCAAGTTACTTCCAACACGCACTTGATGCTACGTCCTTTTCTTTCTCAAGTAGCTTCCAACACGCTCTTGATGCTACGATCGTTTTTTTTCTCAAGTTACTTCCAACACGCTCTTGCTGCTACCACCGTTTCTTTGTCAAGTAGCTTCCAACATGTTCTTGATGCTACGATCGTTTCTTTGTCAAGTTGCTTCCAACACGCTCTTGATGCTACGTTCTTTTTTTTCTCAAGTTGCTTCCAGCACGCTCTTAACCTTACAATCGTTTCTGTCTCAAGTGACTTCCAACACGCTCTTGATGCTACGTTTTTTTCTTTCTCAAGTAGCTTCCAACACGCTCTTGATGCTACGATCGTTTCTTTCTCAAGTTACTTCCAACATGCTCTTGGTGCTACGCTCTTTTCTTTCTCAAGTAGCTTCCAGCACGCTCTTGACGCTATGATCGTTTCTTTCTCAAGTTGCTTCCAACGCGCTCTTGATGCTATGCTCTTTTCTTTCTCAAGTAGCTTCCAACACGCTCTTGAAGCCACGATCGTTTCGTTCTCAAGTAACTTCCAACACGCTCTTGACGTTAAGCTCTTAGCATTCCTAACTAATTTCCAACACGTTCTTGGTGCTAGGCTCTTTTCATTCTGAAGTAACTCCCAACACACTCTTGAGACTACGATCCAATCTTGGCAAGTGACTTTCAACACGTTCTTGATGCTACACTCTGTTTTTTCTCAAGTAATTTCTGAAGTTTGGACATGCTGGTTTGTACAGGAAAGTCACTCAGCAAAGAAGAATGACCACGCATGTCAAACTTCATGATCATTCTTCCATCATGGACAACAAAGTTCGTTACTCATGACAAGGAAAACCCTCGCAGTTTCTACCAGCCCAACGCGTCCCAAAAGGAGGATATACTCTATACTGCTGGAGTGGCTGCACCAGAGGCTTCGCAAAACATGCATTTGTGTGCAACTTTTGGTTTCGCAGTTTCCAGGAACACTTTTGCCTTCTTGAACTGGTTTCGGAGCTGTGCCATATGTGTTTTACATCTGCTTGCGCGAAATGCCTTCACATGTTCCAAATCTAGAAGCCTACACCAAAGTGTTCATCCGACTTGCCTGTGCACCTTTCATTCCTGTCCAATCCTTGGAACAACTCAAGGGTCAACAGCAGTTGTCTTTCCGCTTCCACCAAAAAGAACGTAGTACTAATACCTATAGCTTCCAAGTCAAGACGCGCATACCTCGTGGGTGATCAATGTCCACGCTCGCATGTCTTTTGCACGCACCTGCTACATGGAAGCAAAATGACAAAAATCAAAACCAAAAAGACTTTGAGTTCCAGGAATTTTCACTGGCGATCCGGCCGTAAGCAGCCCGTAGCTCTTGGAGTCAAAACCCATGATCTTCCACACATTTCGCAGCGGCTGGACGCCGTGCCTCGACGGTACGGAAACTCGTCTTTGATGTCGGTTTTTTTGTTCATGCGGTATATGGACGGTTGATTTGATGAAAAACTTATTTATAAATGGATGATTTCGGGGTACCCAGATCTATGGAAACCCCCTTATCAAGGGGACAAAGGGATGGGATTCTGCAATGTATTCCTTCCAAGCACATGATGCAACACCTTCTTGGCCGCTGGCTCATCAAGTCTCCACCGCATCAATGAGCCTGCAAAGACCAGTGCCAGTCCAAAGCCTTAGTCCAATGGGTTTATTAAAACACGGTTGGTCGCACTGCAATTCCAAGCCTATAAATCCTGGTTGGCATCTTTGCGGCTCAGCCACCACACATTGCCAAAGATGCATATTCAACGGATGAGAACAACCTGAGGATGCATTTTGCCTCAGTCGTTTCCGGCCAATCATTTTATGTACAGGTGAAAAATGGTCAAAATACATGGGGCAGAGTATGTCCCAATCGTGTTCGCTTAGCTACGACGCCCCAAAAACATGAGAATTTTGCAAGTTGTAATGTTTTTACAGCCAGACCAAACCTTGCCCAAAACCTCAAATGCAACCACTGTGCCGCTTTCGTGAGTTTGCTTTTGCATGTCATTCGGCCGGTGCAACAACGACAATTGGCTACGCAAAAAACACATTCGCCTGATTGCTGGCGCAAGAGCTGCGGCACACAATTTTCAACAGTTCTTCAGACCTACAAGGGTTCATCAGCGCAAATAAGGGACACGTGGTTTCACGACAAAAAGTCAAACCGTGTGTGAATTCCGCACAACAGGAAATTCGGGATTGAGTGACTGCATCGTTTTTGTGACAAATTGTGTATCGGAAGAATTGGCGGCAAATACCGGTGAAACAATCATGCACCATCTGCGTGCCATCTCAACGCAGCTGCCACGCAGTGAACCTTACGTTTCAAGACCCAGGCCCAACCTCAAATTTACCTAAACTATCACATATGTTAGAGTGCGGAGTGGCAGCAAGCGGTGTTTCCTATTTCACTCTGAGCCACTGACAGTTGAATGCAATCACACGTGTTGTGCAATGCAAGACAGTGCACTTCTCTGTTTGTGCGTGTCATCCTTGCATGGGTGTTTCACTGGACATGTTTGACACCCCGCCTCAAAATTATGCTGAAAATTTGAGGCATGATTTTGAATTAGTCCTCGCTCCAGGGTATGTTTTCCACATTGTTGCAACCTGCTAGGCCTTGTTGGAGAAACCACTGTTCCACAAACGTTCCGAAAACGGAAAATCCATGGCGTTCATTCCGTGTCCACCACGCTGGGTAATCCCAGCACATGTCTGGCTGATTGGGATACAAACTGGATAGGTGGGTCTTCAGGTATTCTTTGAAAACCACCACATCAAACAAAGCTACCTCCTGCATTTGCAGGGCTCTGTTCCTCTCAGTCACAGGCAAATGCCTCATGATCTCATCCAGGTCGTCCCAATTCACATCTTGGAGAGGGAGTGTAGGCGGTTCATGGTCCGAATGGGGCGAACCAGGCAATGAAAGATACTCGCGGGTCGCCGAATCTGACCTCGCACCACGTAGTTCATTGTTCGCCGAACCACCAGCGATACCAGTTGATCCATCCGCTGCATTCGCTCCATCGCCAAACATAGAGCTTGTTCCCGGTAAAGAACTCCTCAAGGTTGTAGTTCCAGTCACCTGTGGTCCTTGTCCATGAGCCATCATGGCCGAATTCGCTGCAACTGCTGGAACCATCTCCTCATCTACTTCCATAGGTTCTTCTTCGGCTCCTTCACCATCAGAAAGATCGTAGACGTTCAGCATGTCGATTTCTGCAAAGCCATGTCGCCTTCGACGCCGTCGATCCAATTTCACAAACCGTACCATTCCACCATTGACTTCTCTGAAGTACTCCTCACCTGATTCTGCATCATCCACCGAGCGAAGCACCCTGAACTGACGGAATTCGTGCCGTTCTGGATCCCAGTCATCCACATACTCAATCGTTCGCATGTTGAAAGTCACTTGCTCGGAAGCCCATTTCACCACCTCGCTCAGCTGGTACTTGTAAATGGCATTCTTGAAGAAGTAGCCAGCAACCATTCCAACCAGGAAGAATATGAGGGCATACCCGAGCATGAACCAAGGAAACTCCATGAAGAGCTCGCTGTACTCAAAGTTCTTGACCATGAGCTGATAGTTGAACTCCTCCGTGCGGGCTCCATTTGCAACTGGTTGAAGTGCAAGCAAGGTCATAGCCTTCACCAAAGGCTTCGAAACCTGAGTTGGGATCTCCTCCATGCCATTCGCCAGGACATTCAAAACCACTCGGCGGACTGTTTTCATGTTCTGGCCCATGTACTTTTTCTGCATATAGGCGTTGAATTCATCTTCGCCAGCCGGAACGTACATCTTGCTTGACCCATCGTACTCCACCAAACCAATCAAATACATGAGAAATGATCGTCGGACCTTGGTGAGTTTCTTCGTGTTGATGTCAGCCACATTGAGGACTGTGGCGACTCCATCCATTTCAAGTTCGCCAGCCTTCACCTTGTTCTGAAGCCACAAATACTTGGCATCGATGTGCTTCATCCTTCCCACACCCTGCCGTTGCGCAAAAGCTCGGCAGCTTGATGAATCTGACACAACCTTCGCAGTCACCTCCTTTCGGGTAAGGAAGCTCCAAAGCCGGGCTACATAGAGGGACTCAGCGCCACCACCGACTGCAGAGAGGTATTCACTCTCACAGCTGCTGAGAGCTATGCTTTTCTGGGTACGGGACCACGATGTCACCAATCTGTTGTCCACAAAGATCAGGGCTGATGAAACTGAATGTCTTCGCCTTGCCGGTGGAGACTTGTCTCCGGCCCAGTCGGCATCTGTAAATGCCTCCACCAATTCCTTTTCATGTTCCACAGAACTGGGCCCTCCTCGAACTTCATCCAATTTGCTTTTCCCAGGCACTCGGTAAGGCAGTAGCACACCAAGATCAGGCGTTCCTTTCAGGTACAGGATCAAGTGCTTGACTCCAATCTCAGCTGAAACCGTCGGCTTGGCCATAAACTGGCTGAGATGTCGAACTGCGTGTTGTAGATCGACCCGATCCTGACTCAAGTAAAGAAGTGTGCCCATTGCCGATCTAAACTTGAACTTGCCCTTGTCATCCAACTCCTTGGAGTCATAGATCTCGGTGCTGAGATCAGGTGTGGTCTTTGCCTTCCTTGCCTCTCACCAATTCCTCAGCATATTTCTCGTGGGGACTGATGACGATCCCCGCCTTGGTGAAAAAGTGTCGCCTTTTGAGAAAGCGAATGGGTTCCCGCTCATCATGGTCTGCAGATGGCAGGACTTCACCACCCTGCACAGTCATTCTCTTTTTCAATTCTCCAATGAGCCATTCCAATTCTTCCTTCTCACCACAAAGTACAAGATCGTCCACATGTGAGCAGAGGATCACCTTCTTGGTCTTGTGTCTGAACAGGCTGGGCAGCAAAGGGCTATTCTCAAAGTCCAATTCTTGGAGGTGTTCACAAAGGAAATCGAAGAACCGTGCTGCTGCATTTCTCTGACCTGGTAGACATCTGTTCAAAGACCAGTATTTGGAATGACCATCGTCGTTCCACCATGAGGGCTTTTCCACCAAGATCTTCTCTCTTTGAGGGACCAACAGGAAGGCATCTTTGATGTCAATGAAACTGAGGTACCACCGGAAACAGCTGTGCATAAGAAGCACCAATCTGGCTCCAATGCCAGATGCCGGGGCAAACGTGGATGCAGATCCCTTGTCAGAACCTTTGAACTCTCTTGCCACAAATCTGCATCTCCTTCTCCAGCGTTGCTCTCTGAACCTCCGATCCATCACACTCCGTGTGGAGAGAACCACTCCATCCTCCAGATCTTCATTGGTTGGTTCCTGGAGGACATCCATTTCAAGTAGTCGAGTGATCTCCTCATACCCAGCTGCTTCATCCAAAGAAGCCAGCTCTTCTGAAGTCACCTGTGGAGGTTTCCCTTCGTCGGCTGGAGTGTTGTCATCTTCCCCAAGGTTGATCACCATGTCATTGGGCTCGATGTATTCTGCCACATCATCCTCCCAAACTTCATCATCTATCTCACCAACATCCAAAACCTGTTGAATCGTGCCAGCAAAGTGGGGAGGATAGAGATTGCTACCACTGGCAGTTGGGCTGCTCTGAGGACTCGTTCTGGGTACCTTCTGTTGAGGTTCCACACTCGCAGTGTCATCCACCAAAGCATCAGCACCTGGTATTTCCTCTTGGTCACCATGCCGTGCAGACTTGTTGGGAGGAAAATCTTCTGGTGCTGCTTCACGTTTTCCAACTCCAAAATCATTCAAGTCCAAATCACTGACTGGGCTCGGTGGATGAGTGCGGGCATATTCACGAACATCTCGGGCATCCACATCATACTCCAATTCCTCACCTGGTACTGTGGGATGTTTTTCAACCACTGGCCTGGGTGTTGTTGGGGCACCAAAGTTCAAGTGCTTCAAGTTGGCTTTTCGAGATGAGACCTGCTTGTAGGGTTTGTCCTTGACCATAAAGAGCCATGTATCCTTCCAAGGATCATTAAGCCTTCGAATGGCTTTTCCACGCAAAATTCCATTGGGGCTCGCCACCACGTGCAGATCATCTCCATCAGTCTTTGTAAGCCAAATGCCAGGCACCCACTGAGGTCCAAGCTTGACATTGGGTCCTCTGCGGTGTAGCAGTAGAACCATCTCACCAAATGATGCCACCTTCCCAGAGTATCTCCTTCCATGGACCAACTCAAATCGGCTCATCTTTGTCGTTGTGTGGTTGTAGAACCTGTTCAAACTCCATGCAGCGTGGATGAATGCCCATGGCCATAGAGCATGATCCCCAGGAAGCTTCAGCTTGCACTTGTCAGAAGCCATGTGGACGAGGGTTGAGCTCTGCTTTCGAAGTGTCTGAATCACCCTCTCCACCTGTGCAGTTCTACCTTTGTCCCCTGGCCTTGAGTGCGTGACCACCGTGGGATATCCAAGATGCTGCCGCATCAATTGCACACTCGCCAGCAGAGACTTCATTGTCGGCTCGGCATCACTGATGAACTCCACCTTGTCCATGTAGTTCAAAGACATTGAAAATCTCACCAGATGTTCAGCTTGGCCTCTCAAGTTGTTGCCTTTGGATGGAAGGGGCAACACTGTCACCATCTTGCTCTGGCCAATCGATAGCCACCAAAACCGTCGAAACCTTGTCTGACTCCTCAGCTTTCGAAAAGCAGTAGTCCAGCTGGATGCTAGGGATCGACCTTCGATCTTCATCATGAGGTTCAACTGGACGCTGAGGGTCTTGTTTTCCCTTGCAAGCCACGCAATAGGGGCACCACGGTTGAAAAGGTAGATGTGAAAGCTCGTGAAAGGCTATCTCCTCATCACTGGGTGTTCTTGGAACTGACTGTCCCACCAAGCCTTTCTGCCACCATTGTTCTCGATGCAACTTGTTGGCCTCGAGGAAAACTTGCTCATGTTCCAAATGTTGAGCTCGTTGATTGATTCTATGCCACAGGGAAGCTTTTGATCCACTCTTGGAAATCCCAAGATACTCAGCTGCTGAACGCAACATAGCCATGCTGCTCTCGCTGGTAACTGTTTCGCCATTGACCGCCAGCGCTTCTTTGTCCTCAAACTCCCAAGTGAAGGAAGGAGTATCACCATCACCACCAGGTTGAGGATGACGTTGTACCAACTCCTCAGGCTTGACATCCTCTCTCATCTCCATAGGAATCGCAGGTTCTTCAGGAAAGGTGAAGTCTTTGGCATCGATCTGGGCTCCACCAATCTCTACCAGCTCTTGCTGACCAATTGTTCCCATCACATCTGTCGACTCCTCCTTCTTGTGCAACATTGTGAGTACCATGGTTGGCTTAAAACAGCCAGGAATCTCATCTTCTGTCTCCTCTGAGTGGTAGTACTGGTTGCAAAATTCTGCAAGCTCCCATGTGAGGTCATCGTTCTGGAACGCTGTTGATCTAAAAGGCCAATCGCTCCTTGCATAGGAAATTCCAGGATCCAAGAAATTCTTGGATGCAGGCATGATGATCACGGGATTCTCTGAACTTGTCACCTTCCAACCACGTCTGAACACGCGTTCAAGTACTTCATCATGAGGTGTGATCACCGTCTGAATAGCCAGCATCTCGTGCTCCTCACCAACCATGTCAAACTTGGGTTCCCCCTGTGAGCGCAATGCCCTTTTCAGTGACGGGGTTTCACCAGCAGCTTCATGATGCTCCTTGGCACTGACTACCCTGATGCTTGCATACACCGCCAAGGAATTTCTTTTGAATTGAAGTGGTATAGCTGCTTCACCATCAGGAGAAACCAAGTTGACCTTTGCACCAGCTGAATCACCAGGCACTAAGCTCCAACCTCGATGAAGTAAACGACCAAGGGATATCAAAGGGCTCTGAACTGATGCAACGATGAAATCATCCTCGATGACAACCAAATCATTGTTCAATCCTTCACATTCAACTTGGGCAGATAGCCTTCCAAAGGTTTTCAACCTTTCACCTTGGGCATCCTCAAGTATGGCGTGACCGCCAGGTTTTTCTTTGCCACATCCACTCAAATGATATGGCAGGAGGCTGATATCTGCACCTGAGTCCGAGACCACCAACTGTCCAGCAGGGATCATCCTGACATGGAACTTTTCCACAGCGTTGTCATCCTGGTACCGATCCAGGGCAGGCTGAAAGTCATGGTACCAATCCATGAGCGGGTCAGCCCTCCATGAGTGGTCGTGCTCCTCTTCATCCTCATCCAGCCTGAACCACGTTGTGAGGCTTTGAGAAACCATCCTCACTGACCATTCTTCAGGCCCATCCTCCAAATCACTTCTCAACTCAAAAATCTCAGGTGTTTCAGCAGGAGGGGTTGCAACATGGTACATCTTGACCAACCTGACAGATTTTGTTCCCGAAGACAAAGAATGGGAAGTTGCCGATGAAGTTGTGCTTGCTCTCCTCGTGGATGTAGAACCCACAGTGCTCGAAGCATCTGTCGTAGCTTGAGCCTCACCACCAGGACTAACAGAGTTGTTCACCTGGTTGACCTTCAATGGGCATTCATTGCCCCAATGACCATACTGACCGCACAACCGGCAAATGTTGTGGTTGCTGCTATTGCCATAGCCTTTCCCTTTCTGCTGTTTGCCCTTGTTCTTGCTCTTGCCTCCTTTCTTGCCCTTGTTCTTTGACTTGCCTTTACGACCTCCTTTCGATCCACCACTGCTCTTTCCACCATAAGGAAAGCCAAACCAGCTCCCCTTCTTTCCCTTGGAGTTGCTCTTGCCCTTGTTCTTGCCCTTGTGTCCAAACTGGACTTGATCGACCTCCATTGGCGCAGGACCCTGATATGTTGTTGAGCTCGAGGAACTCGGTTGGTTCATGATCTGGAGGTTCTTGAGGAAGTTGTCACCAGACCAGGCTTTCGTGTTCTTATCCAAAAGAATCAGTTTGTCCTTGAGCTTGGAGTAGTCCATGGTGTCATCCATCACCATCTCCAAATGTCGACGCGTTCCACTGTCAAGGCATCTCAAGACCGTGCTGACAGTGAGGTCATCAGGCATCCTATGCCCTGCAGCCTGCAGCCAACTCAGACTGATCCAGCAAGGAATCAAATTGCAGCAAGTTCTCCAGCATTGACCGCTGCTGTGAGAAACTGGGGTGCTGCATGATTGCCTGGCCAATTGCCCGGGCACGAGGACGTGCTCGAGGGGCATATAGTTGCTTCAGCCGATGCCACACAGCAAAGCCATTCCTCTCCACTGCATGGATCTCACCACCTGGAGAGCAGGACCTTGAAGGTATGATGAAAGAATTGAATAAAGCTTCACCCCCAAGTCCTTGACATCGTCCTCCAAAACACCACTGGTCATAGTTTCCAGCTGCTCCACATCTTTGATGAGGTCCATGTAGCGGTTGTCACAGAATGTGAGCCAATTCAAAAACTGCTCACGCCACAGCGTGTACTTCACAGGGTCGTCGGTGTCGAAAACCTCTGGTGGCCTCAACACTTTTGCACCATCTCCAAACCGGGGACCACCTTGACCTTTGCCTCCACCAAAGTTCTGCAGCATCGTGTTGGCTGTCTGAGCTGCAGTTGTAGCAGCACATGAAAGCTCCATTATCCGACCCAAGAGGTCTGTCGCCTGTTGGGCGTCCATTGCAGCAGTCTGGGCATACATTGTGAGGAAAATGATGCCCTTCAACTTCAAGTAGCCATGCCAGCGCCTCTCCAAGGTGCCATCCCATCGCTTTGATCTCCTGTGGGGACATCTACGTAGGCCCAAGTGGTTTTGTCTCTCGATTCTCAATCTCCTTCTTCTGCTCTCTGTCATCACCTTGAACTTCTTCATAAGGTTGACGAAGAAGATCACCAAGAGTGAACTTGTTGTCATAGGCCATCTCAACCAGCATGTCATACACAATGACCTTGTCGTGCAAGTAAAAGTCCAAGCACATGCTAAAAGGCCGCGCATAGATCCCTTCAGAGACTCATGCAGTGATTGCCAAAGGTGCACAAACGCTAAGGTTCCAATCCTCAGCCATTCCATCAGCGCCAAGGTTCCAATCCTCAGCCATTCAAGTAGCGCCAAGGTTCCAGTCCTCAGTCGCTCCACCAATGTCAAGGTTCCAATCCTTGATCTTCTCCATGTTGTAGGGGTTCCAATCCACCTATCTTCACAGCAGGCTGTTCTCCATGAGCACTCATTGGAACTGCAAACGTCGTCCTCGAAATCCACATAGGCCGCTAAAGCTCCACCATCACCAAACTGGTCATAGGCCTTGTCCAGGATGTAGTATGGGCTCCCCAAAGTTCTCACCATCAGTGCGCCTTCAGCCTCTAGTGCTCCATGGTGAGGTGCATAGGTCGAAGCAACCTCCACCATCTCGAATTGGCGGTGGTGTGGCCGGTCTTCCAAAAGCCATAGGAGCCAAGACGCCACCACCAACGCCAAGGCCAGCACGCACCATGCCCTTTCGGGCTCCGCTGCCATGTTAGAGTGCGGAGTGGCAGCAAGCGGTGTTTCCTATTTCACTCTGAGCCACTGACAGTTGAATGCAATCACACGTGTTGTGCAATGCAAGACAGTGCACTTCTCTGTTTGTGCGTGTCATCCTTGCATGGGTGTTTCACTGGACATGTTTGACAACATATAATGATCGCTGGTGTTTTCCTTTCATTTCCTCTGCCCTTCTCACCAGTGGGCATTCCCTTTAAAAGGATCGAAGTTGGGACCGATGACTGTGGGATGAAACACGATGAAAGTCGAGTCCCTAAATTTGATGAAATTACACCGGCATAGACCCCAGATAGAAAAGATTTCAGAGAAACCAAGGGATGTTGTTCTCCAGAAGCGCCTTGTTTTCGCTGCCCAATAATCGGAATAAAAATTGCATATTCAACGCAACATGTTTTTCAAATCGATCCTTGGAAAAACATGAAAAAAAAGGTGCTTCTCAAACGCGTGTATTCCGGCCCATGGAGCAACACAAAACGATCCCTTTTACGCAACATTTGTCAGCCTCATGCCAATCACACAACAACTATTTTGCACAAATACATTCCCATTCCGGCCCATTACTTTTACACAATTTTTTTTCATGTCGGTCTAGTACGCAATGAGTTTAAACAGAACAACGATTAGTTTTTGCAGATTTTTTTTGTTTCCATTGATTCAACCAAAAAAACACTGTCTCATTCAGGATAAACAAAAGGACGTTGTTTCACAAGTACATGTTCAACAGTTCAACCACACATACACACACAAGTCGAACCTTTCCAAACTTCCAAATATTGAAAATGGGATCCCGTGGTTCAAAGGTTGGGACCATGGCCACCAAGCTTTGGGAACCGGTAGCTTCTCGAAATTGGAACCACAATTCCAAGATTGGGAAACCTGGGGTCCAACCCGTGGGAACTCGCAGATCCTCGAAATAGGAACCCGTGCCTCCAACCTTTGGGCACCCACAATGCCCAGCAGTGGGAACTTGCGGTTCCAAAAGTTGGAAGCGTAGGTTCTTAGCCTGGGGAGCCTTCAGTTTCTCGGGGAACGCTTGGCTCCAAGGTTGGGAACACAGCTCCTCGAAATGGTGGAGCATGAGTCCTAACCTTTGAAAGCCAGCAGTTCTTCGATTCACAAACAAAATTTCGCCCCGACCCATTAATTACGCACAACAAAGCGATTTTTTACATAAAGAGCTCCCGTCGGTCTAGTTGAGAAATGATTTATGTGCATGCATTTCTTTCCGGCCCATTCAGAAAAACAAAGCGAACCATTTTACACAGTTCTTTCACGTCCCGTCATTAAACAACCGTATTGCACTGCACAAAACCATGTTGGCATGGGCTCACGGAGCAAAACAAAAGTTTCCTGTGCAGTTCCGCGCAAGTGCTTCTCGGTAAGCCGCTGCTTTACACAGCACCCTTCAAAAACTTCGCCATCGCGCCCTGGGCACCACCCTGCGCAGCACGTTGTAGCACCCTACACAATACCTTTGCCAGACTTCTCCGCCGCACTCTGGACAGCACTGTGCCCAGCAACCTGTGCAGCACTCCGGACACGGACCTTGTCAAATTTCACCACGGCACTTGTGGACAGCACCCAGCACAGCACCCAGCACAGCACCCAGCACAGCATCCTGCACAGCACCCTGCACAGCACCCTGCAGAGCACCCTGCACAACACCTTTGCCAAATTTTGCCGCCACGCTTTGGACAACACCTTGCACAGCACCGTGCGTTGCTTTCCCCACCGCACTTTTTGGACAACATCCTGCACAGCACCCTGCAAAGCACCATTGCCGGACTTCACCACCGCACAATAGGTGTCGTCCATTGGCTAGCAGGACAGCAAGATTCAGCAAGGCTGGACAATTGTGAGATTCGGAATGAGAGTCTGAGCCACAGCACGGACAAGGAGCACACGTCAGGAGGAGCCGTCTGTGACACCACATGGTGTTGTACTGTTTGTAGTCATGCTGTCTCAAGTGGGCTTCCAAAGCTCCAGGCATGAAAAAAGTTTTCTGACAGATTAAGCATTGATGATTGATCGAGTTCAGAATGAGCTCATCACGCAGCATCATGTGGCCACAGGAAACCAGGACATCAAATTCTTGACCAGCTGTATCTGAGGTCTGAGCATTGAACAGCAGTCGATGTCGATCCTGTCGACGGAAGGCATCTTCAATTGCCTGTGGCGTCGGCCAAGCATGGAGATCATGCGATGGCTTGTGCAAAACCGGGTGCATCAAGAAGGCAGCCAAGTGCAAGAGCAAAGGACATCCAGGCAAATGCAACTCCGGAACAGGATCAAAAGTCAAGATGTCCAGTGTGGGCAGCAGGTCACCACAGTGATCGCAGCATTGGTCCTCAGAGTGTTCCGCGCTGAAGATCCTGCACAGCTGCACCACAATGGGATGCAAGTCATTGGCTCCCAGCTGATGTTCCAAGTGAAGGTGCACCATAATGTACTGAAGGGAAACAGCTTCGCCGCAGAGTGTGCAGTTCCGCTTTAGCAAACCCAGCAAGGCCGGATCCCGCCATAGATTGCCAAATTGCCTGGTGAGCAGCCACAAACATATGCGTTTGAAGTCTGGCAGCGGCAGTAAATCCCCAATGTGCGACAGCAGGTCGTTTGTCTGGAATGTCCATGGGATGGTCAAAGGCCAGTGCGCCTGCACACATAGCATAGCCGCCTGTATCAATGCAGGGCATGTGTGATCTGGAACACCATGACCCCTTGTGGGGTTACAGGCACACCCAAATTCCTGAAACATGGTCCATCGCAGAAGTTGGAGTTGGGTCGAGCTCTCGGCGACCAGGGCTTCATGCTGCTGATAAAGGTGGTAGACCAAGGCATCACCTGTCCCGCACATAAAGCCGCAAAATTGGCAGTGCGTGGTCAAGGCCAATTTCAAGTCAGGCAGTCGATACAGAAGATTGCCAAAGCCAAACCAGAGCAGCTGTTCCAACTTCTCTTGAGGCTTCAGAACTAAGTCCGGTGGCAGGCTGGAGCCAGCAGGACATGGTTCACGTTCCCAGTGTATCCTGGCCAGGGAGAACTGCAGAAACACCATGCAAATGTGTTTTGCCCGATGTTGGGGGGTACACAATGACAACGCTGTGTGCAATGCAATCTGGTTGTGAGTTCAGCTGCACGTTGTACCATTTCAGTCCATTCCGCTGGATGCCCCTGGTTCAGATGTTTGGAAAGATCCTGTCGTCTACGAAACGGCATACTGCAGTCAAAACACTCAGAAGAGATGAAGTGCAGGATGTCTGGGTTCGTGAGCAAGTCTTCACATCGATTTGTCTGGACTGCCTGATCAAAAAGGCACTTCACTGTAAAGCGGTCCCAATTGGCAGTGTGAAGCACCTGCTGAGCATTGTGGAACTTCTGAATGTGCTGCGCCAAGCCGTGGCGTGTGGTGTAAGCCTTGCCGCAGTGATCGCACTGCAGGTGAGCTTGTTCAGTGACATCGCAAAAATCTGCAGTGAGCTGTGTTTCCGTCAGCAGCATGGCCAATTGTCTCCAGATTATGCATCGATGATACTGTGCAAAAGATATGGAGCAAAGACAACAGGGATTGCCAGTGTCAGCATGTTTGGTGTAGTATTGTAGAACTGACAAGTGGTCCTTGTGTGAGGTGCTATGATCATCACTCCAGTGTCTCATCAACCCCGTTGCAGTTGTGTGAAATTTCCCACAAATGGCACAGTGATGCAGAAAGTACGACAAGACATCAGGATTGTGACGAAGAGCTGCTACTTGGTGGGCACGTGCAAATTGTAAAAGCTCTTGCACCCGTAGTCTGTGCTCGGTCTGGTCAATCTCCTGCAAGTCATGTTGACATACATACATGGTGTGATATTGGTATCTCTGCCATGTGCTGAATTTTGTACCACATCTGTGACAAGTGGGTACATCCGTTTGAGGTTGTGAATGCATAAATCTGAGAAGACCTGATCTTCGGCCATGCTCCACTGTGCAGTGCCTGCGCAACGCTGCAAGAGTGAAGAAAACAATGTTGCAGTACGGGCAAATGTGTGAGGTGATAGAATCAGGCACCTCTGTCAGACGTGTGTCTGTGTTCACCTGCTCATAGACATTGGCGATGACCTGTAGAAGTTGATCATAATTGGGCAGGGGTGTCAGTCTCAAAATGTCATCATCTGCCAGTTGCCAATGTCTATGTAATGAGCGTTCGGCTGTCTTGAGGCAGATGTCACGCAATCGCAAGAGCGGGTCCGGGAGATTGTGTCTCTGCAAAATGAAAAATTGCATTCATGAGACAGGTGTACTGGATCCCGAAGAATTCTTCTCATCTGCTTGATGCTGAAGCGGTAAAATGAAAGTAGTATGGATTCTTGAAAACCTGTGGCTATGATCCCATATCTCAAACAAGTGTAAATACACTGGTACCAGATTTTCACCCTCTGTGAAGCACTCAATCGTTGCGTGTAGAGCCAGCGATGAAGCTGATGACTGGATTGTTCACTGTGTTTGAGTCGCAGGGCCATTGTCTCTTTTTCAAATTGATGATAGGATAGCATGACGCCAAGGTACTTGAATGATCGTACAAGTCTGATCTTGGTGTATGTTCCATTAGAACGTGGAATTCTGATGAAGGTTCCCTGTTGTGTGCGTACCAAAAAGCGCTTCTGAAGTTTCCCCACCAGTTTGCCTCTCATGCGCAAAGTCACAGTGGTCTTTGCCAAATTAATAGCTAAATCAGCACCTTCAATCAAGTCCAGGAGAATTCCAAAGGACTGGATCAACTCGATGAACGACTCCTCACTGTCAAACATCTGGTGAGAACAAATGTCATCGGCAAAGATAGTGATGCAAAGAAGAAGAAACTGCGGTGAAATGTGACGTTCAATGTCCAGCATCAATGAGGAAATGAATACTGACCAAAGACATGGAGCAGCTCTGCATCCTTGTCGAATGCCACGGCACGTTTTCACCGATCGATGAATGCCTCGATGCGAGAA